AACAGACCCAAGCTCAAATTCCATATCCACCACTTCCTAGCTGGGTGACCCTGGACAAGTCACAGAACCCTCAGGTCCCTTGCTTGTAGGTTTGAAGTAATGCTATCTACCAACAGGACTATGATGTTTCCGTGAGCACAGACGTGCACGTTACACTTGGCTGTTTAGCTGGTGGATTACACTTCCCAGCTCCAGGGCTAGGAGGCTTGTTGAAGGCAATTTCTTTCTTTACTGGGAAGGACTCAGTCTCTCTTGGTGTGAATGAGTTGCTCATTCTGTTACCTAGCAGAGGTTTATCCAGCACTTAGCATGTTTCCATTAGCAACTAATGTATTATGAGCACCTATGGTTTCATTCTTTCTTGCACATTTAAAAAATTGTTAAAATTTTCTGATACATAAAAACCCAAAACTGTATTTGTTAATGGAATGCCAAGTCACGTTCAATAGATGTATACATTGCGTAATGTTTAAATCAGATTAAACATATCTATCTCCTCACATAGCTATAATTTCTTCATAATGAAAACTTTCAAAATCCTTTTTAGCTTTTGGAGATATACAACAGTACATAAGTGTTGCCTATATTTCTTGCATGTTTTAAGAAATAAACAGCCAAGTTCCTTCCTTCCCCTTCTCTTTCTCTTTCTTCCTGTTCCTCCGAAACATTTGACACTTACGAGAGCCACAAGCAAGCGGGAAACAACCTCAGTGGATCAGCATGAGTCCCTGTCCTGTCCTGGGCTTCACCACCGTCTGCCGTTAGTTCTCAACTTGCTCAGTCTGCTCAGTCTGTTCCTCCGCTTCCCATCTTTGAAGGTTGGCTGGGGTTTCTCTCTGCTTCTGTCTTTCCTATGGTGCTTTGTCCTAGTTGGTTACACAGGACATCCACCCCTTTAAAACCATCTCACTGGTGTTTCAGTAGAGGATAGAGACGGACTTTTGTGCCTTCTAATTTCTTAGCTTGCATTAGAAAACGTGGGACTTGTATGGATTGTACATGTCTTCCCCAAACGCACAGGTTCAAGATCTGACCCCAGTGTGATGGTATGTGGGGATGGGAAGTAGATAGGTTAGTTGAGGTCATGCTGGGGGGACCCATCTGATAGATTATACAGACGCACCATAAGAGATGTCAGGTATTCACAAGTCACACCAGAGAGCTCTCTTCCTGCCAAGACAATCTGCAGCGAGAAGGCTGCCATCAGTAAGCCAGGAGCAGTGCCCTCACCCACCCAGCAGGCACCTTGATCTTGGACTTCCAGTTTCCAGAACTGTGAAGAACAAGGGTCTACTGTCTAACCACCCAGTCTATGCTCACCATGATAGGTCTGTGTCTGTGATCGATATAGAGGAACTGGGAATGTAGCTTGGTGGTAACTGCCCACTTAGCACACATGAGGCCCCGGGTTCAATCCCCAGCACCAAAAAGAAAAAAAGAAACTTTATAGATATAAATGAGACAATATTTAATAATATAAGTGGGCCGGGTGAGGTGGTGCACACCTCTAGCCCCAGCTACTCACGAGGCTCAGGTGGGAGAAATGCTTGAGTCTGGGGTTCACGGCTGGCCTAGGCAACTCAAAAAACAAAACAAAATTAAACCAAACCCACTGGGTGACAAAAACAGTTCTGAACTTTATTGGTGGCCAAACCGTCCACAGCTAAGTGGGGTGTCCGTGAACAATGAACTGACCAGGTCACAGGGCCCTCCTGACCACCGTGGCCCACTGCTCATAGGCTTCTGAGGGCTCTCGAATGGTTTTGTATTTTAGGGAACGTACTTATCTCATTATTTTATTGATCTATTTAAGAACACAAATGGAAACAGATGGTATTACTTCTTTCAGTGACATAAACCCCGAGGAACGCCATTTACTGGGAAAGCCCAGGATATGGGAAGCTGGGCTCTGCAGCTCTTCCACGTCAGCTGGAGATGTGGCCCCGTGCCAGCACCGACGTGGGTGGCCCCAGTGACATGCTTCTGGCTGACAGGCTGCAGGGAGGGAGAGGGGTACAGAACTGGGAGCACTGATCCACAAATGAGCTTGCTGTGTCTCAAAAGCTCCAGACTCGTGGAGTCCTTTTGGTGAGGACCTTGACGCAGCTGCCATACACGGGGAACACCGTTTCCTGGGTCACTGGAGTTTGGGGAGATCAACCGTCATTCTGGTTAAAAAGGCCACCTCCCTTGAAGACCTGGGATGTCTGACTTTGGAGTCAGGGGTCTTCATCCTCAAGGCAGTAATTAAAAATACTGTGCTGTTATAGTTTGGAACTTGAATGTCTCCCAAAGGCCCACATGTTACAGGCTTGGTCTCCAGGGTGGCACAAGTGGGAATCTTTGAAGCGTGGGGCCTAGTACAAGGTCTTTAAGGGTACGCCTTTAAAGAACATTGTGGCACCCCAGCCCCCTCCTCTTCTCCTCGTTGCTGCCTGTCTTGTGAGGTGAGTGGTTTTGCTTTGCTCTCGACTATGGACTGGAACCTCCAAAAGTGTGAGCCAAAACAAACCTTTTCTCTTCATAAGTTGATTCTCCTAGGTATCTGTTATAATGGCGCAACACTGACTAACATACGCCCCTCAGGACTGACTGAGTCCTCGATCCCTGCCTCACGCCACACACTACCCTGAGAGTCTGAATGCGGTGATTACAGCCTTACATGGGACACGGGTAAAGAAAGGGAAGAGACAGTTGCGTCCAGCGTTAGAGCAACATGATACAAAAACAATTCATCACCATTTTCTTGACTTCAACTTGCTGTTATTTAGAGAAATGGATACAGACATTTGCACTCTTGTCAAAATTTCAGGAATTCCCAGGGACGAAACACCCACCCAAATCCCTCACCTCAAGCCTGCAAGAATTGAGAGATACCTACTAATTTCATGGGGGATAGTACTGACTTTCATTTTCCCTCAACAGAGCTGGATGTAGGATCTAAATTTAAGTGGCCTTCAGATTCTCATTTTTAGAGACCCATGTGCATTATAGGCTTTTAAATGTTTGCTGCTTTGCACCTGGGCGAGAGAAAGGCTGTGCTGGTAAGCAGCTTGCTCTCTTTGTTCTTCATTTAGATTCCCGTGACCGTCCCATTCAGCGCTAACTATTCTCCCAATTGTGAGAGCATGTGGATTTGGATCTCCTAAAGAAAAAAAAAATGTTCCTGTTCCAAAATCTGGTCCTAGGCCACTCAGAGAGGACAATGACAGGGAGATGCTCTTCATTCTCACTGCCAGGAGCTGGATACAGTCCAGCTACTGATTCTTTCATGATTGTGGGATGCTTTCCTTCTCCTGAGTTCCAGGAACTCTGGTCCTTAGGAGGTTTGCTCTTTTCTTGATCTTTTTTTAAAGTGATAACTACAAGTTCATCTTCCGAGACATTTTAGAGATACTTCCTCCTGGTTTCTAAGAAGCTTGCTTATTAACAAATTAAAAGAAACCCGGACCACCAACGTACCTGATGAAGATGTGCAGGCACTATGCAAACTCACAGGTAGTGAGTTTGTGCTCCTTTTTAAAAGGACCAAGGACGATGATATTAACTGTCAACCTAATGCTGGCAACAGCAGCCTAGATTGCATGGTCCTTCCAGTGACCCTCAAATCACACCACATACTCTCTGGGCAGTGGTTCCTAGAAGCATCCTTCAATTTTCAAATTAATTCTCCTTAAAAGTTAAAAAAAACACACAAAATTTTAAAAGTATTTTAAAGTAGAAAGATTAGTGCAATGAACCTCAACTACTAATACATTTTCAACAACTGTCATCACAATTCTCATGCCTGATAAGGAAGTTAGAGTGTCTCTCCAGAGAGGTTCCCTACTGGAGTTAGACAATATCATCAATCGATTGGCACGATCACCATGTCCTAACCTACAAGTGCCGTCTTCACCCACTGACACCGGTGCTGATGTTCACACATGTTTTGGAAGCTTTACTTCTGGTGGTGGTCATGAAGTCTCCTGAGACGAGAGGTGCAGGAAGCTCACACACCCTCTCCTCTGGGAGAGTTCAACTTCATCTAATTACAGACATAAACTCCAGGAGTATCTGGAGGCTTAATCAGTAGCGGGTTATGCAACCCTAATTAAAAATAACTTTCAAAAACACAAGACACCTAGTTGGAGAACACAAAGTTCTGAAACTCTTCAGGGTTTTGTTTTTCTTTAACTGATCTTAATTTCCATTGGCTTGTTTACCACTTAAACCCTGCTGGCAAGAATCCCGACACAGAGGACGAGCCCTAGATGACACATGGGGGCTGCCGGGCTTAGGAGCAGATGGATCCCAATCCGCACGCAGGCAAATGCCATTACACACATGACAGGCATTCAGCAGGCCATAATACTGCCCGCAGTTCTTGTAAGACCATGTATGCATGTGCACACGAGCATTCACATGTGCATGTCCCTACATAGATACTCAAAGCTCAGGAAGGTCCGGAACCTCACGCTGCGGATGTCTGATCTCAATCCAGGACAGTCTCTCCCTTGGCTCCCCTCCTTCTGACACCGCCATCCCTCATTCATATGACCATCATTTCACATCCAGCCCTTAGCACAGACTGCTGCGGCCCAGAGGAGACCCCGAAGGGACTGAGGGGGCCTCTGCTATCTCCATGTGGCCATTCTCACCGTCCCCACCCAAATGCACCCTGCTAACTCAGCTGTTTTTAAGAAGCCGCGTTCATCCTCCAGAAGCTCACATGTTGGAAATGGATCCCCAATTTCATATGTCGATGGTGTGAGGTGGGGGCCCTTTGGGAGGTGGTTAGGGTGAGGCCCCGTGATGGTATTATTGGCTTCACTGGAAAAGGCAGAGAGGCCTGGGCTAGGAGCTCGGTCCGTCTCACCATGTGATGCTTTCTGCTATGTTAGGACATGGCTTAAAGGCCCTCCCCAGATGCCCAGCAGATGTGGATACCACGTTCTCAGACTTCCCAGCCTCTAAGCCAAGAGCTAAATAAACCCCTATTTTTCTTTGGGGGCAGGGTAGGGAGTGCTTCTGACAAAAGCTCAAAAAGCTTGCTGGACAAATTCTGAAAGTGCTGCAACAGTAAACCTCTATTCTTTATAAATTATTGAGTATCAGGTATTTTGTTACAGCAACTGAAAATGAACTGAGACACAGATGATCCTAATAGAGTCAGACATGTGCTGTACGGGAATAGTGAGTCTACTACACAGGGAACCTGGGAAGGAGGTTCTGACACCAGCTAAGGTCTGGACACACTCCTTAAACAACAAAGTGCTTGAGCGGTTTCTCAGGAAAAGCTTCCAGAATCCACTCCAGGAGAGTCAGGAACCAGCTTTTTAAGGATGGACACTTGCAACAAAAGCCAGCTTGTCCTATCAGTGGCCCCAGCATTACATGACGACGGCCCCCCATAAGAAACACGCCACCTGTGAAGAACCAAGGTAACCACTGGCATCTGTGCGCCCCCCAGCCATCCAACCAACAGGAAATTTCCCCCTCCCCCTTCCCCTTCCTAGAAACAATGGCACTACCAACTGACCAGGGGGCGAAGCGGGGCTCCATTTTAGCCAGTTGTCTATGCAACAAAATATCTCCTTTTGCAAAACCCCATACTATGGATTTCTGAGCGTTTTGTTCCATCCCGGGGCTCCTGTTCCCCTGGGGCAGGTGAGGAAAAGGAAGCAGGAAGTGGTGAAGCAAGTTTCCCAAGGTCACCAAGCTCTTCAGTGACAGAACCCGGGCAATCTGGCTCTGCAGTCTGTGCCCCGTGCCAGACCTCCTCCAGGAACCTCCGCCCCTGATCACTGGGACATTCTAGCTGCTTCCTCTGGTGCCCTGGGCTTCTTTGCTGGTATTGCTTCTGTGGCCTGGAAAACACCCATCCTGAGCTAGAAAACCTCCCTCTCCAGATCTCCCAAGCCCTGGCTCCCGGCTGTTCACCTGCCCGACAAACCCAGACTAGGTTCTTTAGGGAGTGAGCCTTGCTCTTTATCACCTGAGGTCCTGGCAGAGGTGACAGTCACAGCAGATGCTTTCAGGGGCAAGCTCCTGCCCTGTTCAGTGACTCACAGTATGCCCTCAATGTGTTGTTTGTTTATTCATTTGTTTTAGATAATGCCTTCAGAGAAAATGACAAGGAGCCAGCCCGAATAGCCTGACACTCTGACTCATTCTTTTTGGTGACTAAGAGTAAACGTAGCTCATTACAGCAGTGAATTCTTCTCCCAGAGACTCTCTCATCTGTCATTTTTGGTTTTGGACATGTGATACGTGGCCTCGAGCTGAGCCTGTTCTCCATGTGATCCGTCTTCTCCCACATGAATAGGCAGGAGTTTCCCCAGTGAAAGCTCCTGCCTTGCTTCGTCTGGGGACAGCCTGTGTGTCCGTTGGCCCAGCGCTGGCCTAATTTGCTGCAAAGAACAAGCCTCTCTCCACTCCTTTCCTCTTGGTTGCATTTATTGGCTTTGTGCTCACCAAGAGGCGAATTCATGACAAAATTCAGTTACAAAACAAATGACTCAGATGGAACTCTGCCCTCGGAAATTCCTGAGCTTGTGCTACTCACTCCCCACAGGAGTGGTGAGCGGCGGCAGCCAGTCCCAGGAGGGCTCTCCACGTTGCCAGAGTGGGTCCTGAGCAGATCAGGGGAAGTGACCCCTTACCGTGGGGCAGATAAAGCCCCATCTTGGGGTCTGACTCACGGGCCCTGCACTGCTGCTGTCCTGGGCAAGTGCAGGGCCTGGAGTCCGCTCCTAGAGCAGCTAACACAGTGGGAGGAGGTCACACCTCTGCTGCCAGGGCTGAGAGGTTGAAAGCAACCTCCATCCAGGATGCCACAGGGCAGAGGTCAGGAGATGGAAAGAAACCTCCGTCCTGAAGGGGAGGCTGGTCAGGGATGCCTGGCTACAGAAAGCCAGGGGAGATCTGGGAGATTCAGAGAAATCCATCTGGGCTGCTGGCAATTTAAGGTTTGGGAGACGGGAAGACAGTCCATCCTGCAGATGTGCAGGAAGGTCAAGGAACTCCAGGGGAAGTGTGTGCTGTTTTTATTCCAGGACACCCAGATGTGTCATTTCGTGGTTTCAACGCTTTGAAATTCTCTAACCACAGACCAAATTTGAAATCCTTACTTGAGTAATCAATCAGGGGATTTGCATTTTGACTAGACATTGCTTCCCAGGCCTTAGGAACTTGGGGTGGGGAACAGGCAATCTCTCCCGAGGAGAGCTCCTCTCCTCCATCAACGGCAGGCTTCTGACTCTTCTCCAGTGATGACAAGACGTATCCTGGAATTCCTAGACAGCTTTGGCGCGGATTCTTGCAGATTCTTCACTCTTTTAGGTAGTTTCCCCCTGTACTTTTTTGGGGGGGTTGGGATGGGGTACCAGGGATTGAAGTCAGGGGCGCTCCACCACTGAGCCACATCCCCTGCTCTATTCCGTATTTTATTTAGAGATTTTTCTTTTTTGTCCTGATGAGTTCACTCATGGTTCTGCACGCCTAATTTGATATTTTGTTGAAAATATTTTGGCACGGTAAACTTGAAATTTTTCTCGTAAAGACCTTTAAGATAGTTCTTACGGAGTTAACATGCAAGGGCCTCTCCCTCTGTTCCTATCTCTCTACTTTAAATCACTTGGCCTTTTGCTTATGTTAAGATAATTTTGTTATTCAAGGTCCCTTGGAGGTTTGTTATTTCAGCCAGTCCTGGCCGGAATGCAAACATCTAAGAGTTATCTCCTAAACTCTTTTGAGGAGGAGAGGAAGGGGGAGGAGGAGGAAGGAAGGAAGGTAAAGGTTTTATGTGGTAAAGGTTTTCGCTCTGTCTGACCATGCTGCTACGTAAGTCACCTTGCCTGAAAGCTCTGGTCGCAGCCTTTGGAAGACTGCAAATGAAAATCTTCAAGGTGACCTTCACTTGTTCCATTTTCTCAGCGACATGATTTGGATTCAACTATCTTCTTAAAAACTGGTGAATTTATATTACTCAATGTTTTGTCTCAAGACTAAAATTATGCAAGGTCTATGCTCAAGTGCAGCAAGTTAAGGGTTTTTCTTTGATAAATAGCTTGAAATGATGATGACGCTAATATCTCAGTTCTCGTGGGTAGTCTAGGAAGAAGTGTTAAAAATAAATAAATAAGGAAGCTATATGTGGGACAACTGTTTATAGGTGCACTGTTCATGTAATTTGAAGTCTGAAAGTTATGTGGGAAATAAACATCGGAGTCATTTCTAAGTCAGTTCAAATACTGAAGTATCAATTGCTAAATATAAATCCAAGTACTCTTGGCTTCTTTAAAAAGACAGTATATAAAAAGTCTGTTTATAAAAGCATTTTCATATTTTTGGCATAGGGAAAAACAATTTAAGACTGCTTTCTTCTTGGGTCTTCATTAACAAGCAAAGTGACCAAGAGGGAAATTCAAGATGGCGCTGACATCTGCTCAGCCCTGGTGAATGGCATCCCCTTGGTGGGAGCAGGCATGAGGGAGGTCACGTGGCAAGACAGAGAGTCAGGAGTCAGCTCCCTCTGCACAGCTCACTCTCTTGGGAACTCAATCCCTTCTGAGGGCGGTTCTCCCAGTGACCTAACCATTTAAAGCTTGCACCATCATAACACCAGAACACTGAGGATCAACCTTCCAGCACATGAACCTCTGGGGGACAGACCACATTGGAACCACAGCATGCATTAGCAGGGACAATATGTGTAGCACTGTGTGGTCACCTCCCCGTGTGATGACAAGGGACCAATTCATCATATAAGTGGTGTACTTTGTAAGAGAAGAATCTCAAGTCAGTTCTGAAGTCCAACGGTGTTTCCCAACAAATGTTAGGAGATTCAATTAATTTCAATAGATTTTCATAAATGCATTACACGATACCAGTCTCTGGGTATTTCACGGAAAGCTAAGATTTTCTTACTTTCCACAAGATCTAATTTATCATGTTTGCCATATTAAAAATATGCTTGGGGAGAAAAAGATGTTTTTTAAAAAGTTACATGTTTTCTCATATGTGGAAGACAGAGAGGAAAAAGGAAAGTGGGGGGGACTGGGGTCCTAGCTCAGCGGTAGAGCGCTCGCCTTGCACGTGCAAGACCCTGGGTTCGATCCTCAGCACCACATAAAAATAAATGAATAAAATTAAAGGTGTTGCATGCAACTACAACTAAAAAAAAATTGAAAAAAAAAAAAAAAAAATTTAAAAAAGGAGAGGGGAGAAAAGATTCAAAGAAAAAAAAAGGGAGAGGAGTAGAATAGAGGAAAGGGATGAGGGGGTGGGATGAAAGGAAGGAGGGGGAATGTGCAGGGGAGTGATATCAGCCAAATTATATTGTTATATCAAATGCCTGTATAAATATAGAGACAAATCCTACCTAAGTACAACTTATAATGATTCAATAAAATATTTGGGAGAAAAAAACCTGACTCTTTTCCTTATAAGTTAGAGGAGACAAAGAGAAAGCCTGAAAACCAGGTAGCCAGGGAGGGAGGGGGTTCCTGAAATATCTTCCGATTAGGGGAGAAGAAGTATCTGTTCAGGGCTGGTCATGAGTGAGGTGCTTTTCATGCGTGGACACCCTCGCCATCACCTACCACTGTAAGTATAATAGTTCCCACTTTGCAGGTGAAGCAACTGAGGCTCGGTATTGCAGGAATAGCCCCAGTTGTGTGAGGCCAGAGCTCTGCCACAAGGGGACCCTTTCCTTCACGCCATGCCATCCTGGCTGGCTGAGCATCAGAGCAATGAACTCGTGGAGTTTCTGAGAAAGGATTTAATCAGCCACCTGGGACCTGGTTAATCTTCAGGGCAAGGGACCTCTTCCTTTCTTGATTCCCTGAGCCAAGACAGTTCTGGACTCTCTGGAGGTTATAAGGGACGCCACGGTGTCCAAGCACAACCCGGGAGCAAGTGTCATTCTTAACTCACATCCGCGACACCAAGGCCTCCCTGGGGAGTAAAAATGGAGGAGGCAGAGAACCTAGCACACATGTACACTTTTCCAGTTCCAAAACATTTCAGAGATTTCTCTGAAGTTTTAATTCACTGGTAGAAACCCACTGAAGGCTGAATTT